CTACATGTCCTATACACGAGAAGGACACCAGTTATAGCTCTCGTATTCCTGTTCAACAAAACGTTCGCACAGGAAAAAAACGCTATTGGTGTCATGAATGTGGTAAGGGTTTCAGTCAGAGCTCAAATCTGCAAACTCACCAGAGAGTCCACACAGGGGAAAAACCCTATACATGCCATGAGTGCGGTAAGAGCTTCAATCAGAGCTCACATCTTTATGCTCATTTGCCTATTCACACAGGAGAGAAGCCCTACAGATGTGACAGCTGTGGAAAAGGCTTCAGTCGTAGCACAGATCTTAACATTCATTGCAGAGTTCACACCGGAGAGAAACCTTATAAATGTGAGGTGTGTGGGAAGGGCTTCACTCAGAGATCACATCTTCAGGCCCATGAAAGAATCCACACTGGAGAGAAACCATATAAATGTGGGGATTGTGGTAAACGCTTTAGTTGTAGCTCAAATCTTCATACCCACCAGAGAGTACACACCGAAGAAAAACCGTACAGATGTGATGAGTGTGGGAAGTGCTTTAGTTTGAGCTTTAATCTTCATAGTCACCAACGGGTCCACACAGGAGAGAAACCGTATAAATGTGAAGAGTGTGGTAAAGGTTTTAGTTCAGCCTCAAGTTTCCAGAGCCATCAGAGGGTCCACACAGGAGAGAAACCATTTCGATGCAATGTGTGCGGTAAAGGCTTCAGTCAGAGTTCGTATTTTCAAGCCCATCAGCGAGTCCACACTGGAGAAAAGCCATACAAATGTGACGTGTGTGGGAAGCGCTTCAATTGGAGCTTGAATCTTAACAATCATCAGAGAGTCCACACAGGAGAGAAACCCTATAAATGTGCGGAGTGTGGTAAGGGCTTCAGTCAGGCCTCAAACCTTCAGGCCCATCAGAGTGTCCACACTGGGGAAAAACCATTCAAATGTGAAGCATGTCAGAAACGATTCAGTCAGGCCTCACATCTTCAAGCCCATCAGAGGGTCCACACTGGAGAGAAACCATATAAATGTGATGCGTGTGGTAAGGCCTTCAGCCAGAGGTCAAATCTTCAAGTCCACCAGATCATTCACACTGGAGAGAAACCATTCAGATGTGAGGAGTGTGGGAAGGAATTCAGC